AAAAAAGTGTGCAAGACAATAAGAAACACTACCTGCCAAAAAAGTAAAGTTTTGTTGAAATCAGTTGAAAAATGTAGGAAATCCGATCCCATATATAAACGAACACACACACACACAAACAACCTGGGTTTTATAATAAGTATATCTCGATATGAGTTGTCCTCCTTTCATTCTCGCGATGACTCTTAATCGTGTTTTCAAATTGATTTCGTGCAAAAACAATTGTATTTTCCCAATTTTTGGCGCTGTCAGAACCACCTCAAGGTAATTTTACGTAGTCCTGTGAAGTTTTGTTGAAATCGGTTGAAAAATGTAGGAAATCCGATCCAATATATAAACGTACAGACACACACACACACACACACAACCTGGGTTTTATAATAAGTATGATATATATATATACACATGTCCTACACAGAGAATAATATATCACATATAGCTACACAGAAAAGCAGGGTGTAAAGAGAAAACAAAAAGAAAGGATCTTACATATAATATGGTGACTTTCCGATGTCTGGAGTCTGTTTAGGACTCCAGATTCAAATGGGCCAAATTCTTCTTCCACGAACGGGAAACAGCGAATTTTGGGTATTTCCAAATTGAGGACTGCGAGCTGGAGTTTCTTTCTGTATCAGGGAAAGATATATTTCCAAAAAGAAACGGCACCGTGGACTTGTAAGCTGTAGGTGAGGAAACATATTTAGCCTCTACCTAGCTCCTGGGTGGAGCGGGCTAAAGAAAGCAAGCTTTTGTTTTGGCTGCTGTAAAACCAAATGATTTTGACTGCCGCTATGGTCACTGTATGGAGTGGCTTCACTAAGCGGTCCGTCACGTGACTCACGTGACTTATCACCACCAAAGAGAGATGAGCGTATTCTGTATCCCTAGAGGACTAAAGATTAATTCACGAATACTGAATGCAAATTACAGATGGGAGATACCGAAATCAAATCTGGGAAGCGTTTTAATAAAGAACGGAAAGTGCGACACGGAAATCCGAAGGCACATTTGGGATAGCGAAAGATGCCTTCCAAAATCTAAGCAAAGTATTAAGTAACAGAAAAATATCGTTAGAAACAAAGAAATGAGTACTGCACCGTTATGCAGTATCCGTGAATGCTGGACATGAGAGATGAAGAAGACACTTGAAGAAACTGTTCTAAAGCCGGAAGCTGAAGACACCATGGAGAGAATATATGAGCAATGACGAAGTTCTAGAAACAATGGCAACAAAAAGGACAGTTATACTTAACACCAGAAGCCGACAGCTGAAATTTCTAGAGTCCATAACGAGGAAAGAAGAAAATTTGATACTCACAGGGCGGATTGAGTGAATGGATAGCGGAACCGGTTTTGGGGAGAGAATACAAAAAGATAAAAGTTATTAAGAGACACAAAGAATACGAAATTGTGGAGATCCATGATCGCCAGGATCCCAAAGGGACACTGCACAAAGAAAAAAAAGGAGGAATGGACTAATAATTTAAATTTAGAAATGTGAACACCTTACCCTTAAAACAGAGTAAACGAATTCATTTTATAGTAGGCTCCGCTATTAACAACCAAAATGTTGAATTCTATTTGTGCATAGAAAATGATTTCAGAAGAAAAAAAGTCATCATTTTATAATTCTGCGTGTCCCTTCATTCCTTGGTTACTTAGTACGTACGTTACGTCCTGCCAATATCTCTTAATTAATGGACTATTCCGTTTTGATGGCGTGCAAATGCCGGAAAGACATATCAGAGACGCTGGTTGTTTTTTTCGTTTTTTGTTTTTTTTTTCAGTGAAAGAAAGAAAGAAAGAAAGAAGAGGCGACAACGCTCTCAGGTGTTTAACGTCTGCTTCAATGAAATGGAAAAAGTTACCAGTTTCAAATCTTTTTCTTTTGTACCCTCTTACTTCTTTAATAATGTAAATTATCTATTTCTAGATATTCGATGAAAGAAATCCCTACCATGAGATGAGCTTTTAAAATATTTATTTTTACGTGATTTACAATCGTTCTCGGTTTTGAAATGGTGTTTGGCTAAATACTGGTTATAACATGAATTATAGCATCTTGGTATAATTTAAGATTTGGGCTTGAACCTCGACTTCAGTTACAGACTCATTGCCGTAACATGGCTTCCATTTTTTTTTTTTCCTTTTTTTTCCCTTTTTTGCCTTATATATATATATATATATATATATATATATATATATTTTTATATATTTATATATTGCCTATATATATATATATATATATATATATATATATATATATATATATATTCATTTCACCCCTAGCAAGGCGGGAAGCCACTAGCACGCAAGGGGTTATAGAGGATTTGGAGCGAGAGCAGGTAGGAATGATAGAGGAGAAGGATAGTGGATAGATCAAGGCAACTGGAGATGTCGATTGACATTACATTTGAATAGTTGGAGATTATAGCTCTCAGGAAAACAGTAATAGGGAAAGGAGTTCCACAGGCGAGAGGTGCGAGACATGAAGCTATTAAAGTAGAAGAGATGGCTACATTTAGTAGTTTCGACAGTAAAAGGGTGAGAGCGGGATGCCAGCCTCGTAGGACGCTTGAATTCACGAAGTCTGGTAACCAGCGAATGCAGTTCATCGGAGCAATTACCATAAAAGTATTTGTAAAAAAGACAGAGAGAGGCGGCGGCGCGTCTGTGAGAGAGCCACTGTAGACGAGATGCCAGATTAGGGCCAATTATATTGCATATCCGTCTCTGGATCTTATCAAGAACCTCGAGACAAACAGTAGGTGCTCCAGACCATATATGGCAGCAATACTCCATGCAAGGGCGAATGGTTGATTTGTAGATTTGAAGGATCGATTCCGGGGAGAAAAATTTCCTGGCGCGGCACAGGGAGCCAAAAATATTTTCATGACAATTGTTCTGAAGAGCTTTCCTCCTTGCTGTCTCGACTTCTTAAATTTAAATGCTCTACTAGATTGGCAATTAGGTCTCACGGTAATAGTTTCTCTCTCGCCTGTAGTCCATTTTTTTCCGGTTTCTTGAATTCCTGCCACCTATAATTTAAATGCAACGCCAGTTGCCATCTTGTCTTCCTGAATCTTGTTCGTTTATTGTACTTTCTCCACACTAAAGTCATCTCACTTTCTTTCACATCCAGTAACCTCTTGCGTCTTAGTGGCATTATCGCTTTGCATAGAGTGAAATGATTAAAAACATACCATCCTTGAACAACAACTAAAATGGCTATCACATGTAAAAGAAAATAATGACATAATCAAGATGTTGACATTCCACACTACTACAAATAAAAGGTTAGGAAGGAAACCTCCAACAATACTGGAAAGAACGATAACAGCTACTGGACTTGAGAAAGCTATTTTTCTGAGGAATTATTTTAAGAGAAAGATTTTATAAATTTCAACCGAAAGCACTACTGACTGTTTGGTCAAGGAATACCGAATGTTTCCTTATAAGGAAACGGTTAATATTACCATTAACATATACATAAAGATTTTCTATCAGAGTAGGGTCTTCGGTAAATTTATGGCTAGTCAGATAACTTGTTGCAACAGAATGCATTTTAATCAAAAAATTTTCGTTTCACTGAAAGAAGAAATGCGTTTTTAAAATATCATCTATTTTTTTTATCTGAATTGCAATTCTCGACTCAATATTATTTTGCCGCTTTTCGACTTGTAATGTTGTACGTGGCTAAATACTGATTATAGCAAGCTTTGGTAAAGTCAGTATTTGAGTTATTTAATGTTTCCAGATAAATAACGTTTTTGTAACTCACTCGCAAATTGACAGCTCCACGGGTTGTAAGATAACACTTAGTGGAAATTTTTCTATTCGATTAATGAAGTTTTAATTTGTTTTTAAAATAATAATAATTTTTATCTGAATTGAAATACTTCTCAGCTCAATAATTTTTTCGCTATTCATCGGTTTTGACGGTGGAGTAATGGGTAGCGGCTCAGGTTGAGAAATCGGAGAGCCGAGTTCGAACTCCAATCGAATCCATTACATTCACTTTACCCTTGAGAAAACTTTGAATCCTTTTCTTCGCTCCCCAGCTATGGGTAAATAGCAGAACAGACCGGGTTCTATAGCCTTGGATAGCAACTGGTCTACCGCAGAAAGAAACGGCTACCTATTACGGGAAAAAAAATCTGCCTCGTCTAAGCGTTTATCAGGCATGGGACATAACTGACTGAATGTTGCCTGTGGTTATCGGAGACGGTATCGTACGTTAGTAAAAGTTAGCATTTTGGTTATTTAAAGTTCAGTGATGAAAAAGAAATGATTTTCTTTTTCACTCGTGTCATTAACAGATCCACGGGTAATAAGATAACTTTTTACAATCGGATCGAGGCCTTTTAGTAGAGAGTTTTCGGTTCGATTAAAGATGTTTCTACCTTGGAATACGTTTTTAAAATAATATCTGTGTTTATCTGAATGAGAATCCTTCTCGGCTCAGTACTTTTTGTCCTTCCTCATTTTTGCAATGTTGTTACTGGCTAAATATCGTTTATTTTGAATCTATTTTATTTTAATATTTTGGTTTATATTTCGTTCGTTGGTAAAGGCTACTGGAGATATCGATTGACATTACATTTGTATAGTTGGTGATTATAGCTCTCAGGGAAACAGGAATAGGGAAGGGAGTTCCACGAGCGAAAGGTGCGAGATATGAAGCTATTGGAGTAGAAGAGGCGGCTAAATTTAACAGTTTCAACAGTGAAAGGGTGAGAGCGGGATGCCGGCCTCGTAAGATGCTTGAATTCGCGAAGGTAAAGGTTAGCATTTTGGGTATTTGAGTTTCCAGAGGAAAAAAAAAATTATTTTCTTTCTCACTCGAATCATTGACAGATCCACGGGTAGTAAGATATATCGATGCATTTTAGAGGAATTATTTTTTTGTGATTTACGCACTTGTGTGCGTTTGCGTGCAGGATTGTCTATTTCGTCATTGTCAACAAATAACAATGAAAAGAACAATTCAACTCACTCACTCTGCCTTATCATGTGTGCATTGTTTCCTAAAATAAAAGAGACAAGGGAAAGTGCGGTGCGGATGAAGGAAGGTAAGTCGGTGGGAGGGCATGTCACATGTCATGTGTCCTTGTCTCGTGATCGCCTGACAAGCTGACCGATGAACCCACCAATCAGAAAGGCGACGTCACGGCCAACCTGCTGCAGGCATCAAACAAGAAACTCTCGTCTTCTTTCGCTTTCTTTCCCTGTGACGCTAACACTCCTGATCCTATCATTCTTAATCGGACTAATGAATGCAACGAACGCTTAGATTTCGACAATGATAATTATTCGTTAAGTCTGATTATGGAAAATAAATACGGCAAAAGAGACGACTTTACTTCGCTCGCTTTATATGCCTTGTCCCCTGAGGCCGTAAGCGATCATGTCTCTCCACAACTTCCTGTCTCTTTGTCTAAATAAATTCTATCTTTTTTGCTATTTCAAAACCCTGTTCCTCCATTCATTTTCTCAAGTTGGTCAAGTATGGCATGCGTTATTTTCTTCTGTCTCTCTTGCCCTCAAACCGTCCTGTAAGTATCAGATTTTCCAAGCTCTCTTTCCTCATTATGTGCTCTAGAAATTTCAACCGTCTCTTCCTGATGTTAAGTATAAGTCTCCTTTTTGTTTCCATTTTCTCCAAAACCTCGTCGTTGTTCACATGTTCAGTCCATGGCATTCTCAGCATCCTTCTGAAGAAAAACATTTCTGTTGCTTCAAGTCTCTTCTTGATCTTTGAGGAGATTGTCCAGCATTCTTTGCCATACAGAAGGGCATATAACACATAACAGTTCGGTACTCTTTTCTTTGTTTCTAACGAAGTTTTTCTCTCTCTTATTATTCTGTTTAGCTTTTGAAAGGCATCTTTCCCTATCCCAATGAGTCTTCGGATCTCAGTGTCTCACATTCCGTCCTTTGTTAGGACAATTCCGAAATATTTAAATTTTTATACTTAGTTGATTTTGGTACCTCCGATTTATAATTTTCATTTTGGGGCTCATCCTTTTGTTAATAACCACACGCTCTGTCTTCTTCAAATTTATGTTTAGTCCTTTCTTCTCGCTTTCCTTTACTCCCTTGTATAGGGGCCTTTGTAGTTTTCTTTCCGTATCTGCTATCAACACTGTGTCATCTGCATATCTTATGTTGTTAAGAGTGTGAATACTAGTAGAATTGAATCCTAGTAAAACAGCTAATTCTCTTAGAATTGCCTCGCTGTAGCGGTAGACTAAGTCCGGCGAGAAGATACATCCTTGTCTTACACTCCTTTCTATTTTTCTTTTTTTTTTTTGGGGGGGATAGCTACTGAACTCATTTTCCTGTCCCTTGCATATATTTGTAAAATATACTTGAGAAATATAACATGAATGCCTTTTGCATATAATATTTAAGTACCTAGTATTCTTAAAAATTTAGGAAAATATCCTCTTTAATATGATGTTTTATTGATACATTGGATTTAAATTTACTATAGTTATCGCTCTTATTTCCTGATAATGTCGTATATAGACTTCTGTATTTACAAAAATAATAATGTCGTGTATAGACTTCTGTATTTACAAAAATCAGACACAAAAATATTTCAAAATTCTTTTTCAAATATTGGTGTTTGATGAATTGTACTAAGTTTTACTATTTATGATTAGTAAATATAGTTTTTACTAAATAAAAAAAATCACCTAAGCCGGAACGAAGTAAACCAGAAATTTAAAAGATTTCAAACTTTATTAATTATTCCAAAAAATTTTTAAAAAATGAAAACAATTCTTGTAAAAATTCATTATTCATCGAAAATCTTATTTTCTTAAGACAATTGTGTCCTTAATATATCTTATTCATAAAAGCAATTAAAAGCTTTTCTAATTAAAGAATGTCTTAGTTTCATTGTATTTTTTTATTTTGCGATCCAGATCAAATTTATTTGTGTTCCTGTTTTACAAAAAAATTGACGATTTAAATTCTCCCAGAAGATCTGCTTTTAACTAATATAAACATTAAGTGGCAAAAAATTGAATTTCTCAAAATTTTCATACAATTAAATAAGTGGTGGTTAACAGACGTCAAAGAAATATTTTACAAATATTTTCTAAAACAAATACATTTCTAAAAAAATTTCATTCATTTTTTAATAAGTCCTGAAAGTTTCATTAAAATCTGGCAATTATTTGATTTTTGCAAGAATTTCGAAATTAATGTGTTTTTCAACGCAAAACGATGGTAATCTTTCCTGCGGAAAAAAATAAAAGATTTTAACCAAAATTTTGAACATTCTAAAAAGAATGAAAAAATATAATTTATTAATCAAAAAATCCTCTGGTCCTTCTTCTTAATAATAACATGAAGATTTTTACGATAAAACTGTTTTTATTAAGTTTGGGGCATTTTTTCATTGTGGTATGCTAATTTTTTAGCGAATCTTTCGAGATGAAAATCAATAAATTCCTTGCGATTGCCAAAAAAAAAGATCTCGTCATTATCGACTATTTTTCCATAAAGTGTAGATTAGTCTGGCACAAGGCCACAACAGTAACTAATTTCTTCCTTCCTTAAGTGCCATGATGGTGTACGCTTGGGTGACCATATTTCGTTTCAGTTCATGACTGATTTGGCAGAAGAATTACTGTTACATTCTGTGGTAGACTAGTTGCCAACCAAGGCTATAGGACCCAGTCTTCCCTTCTATTTAACTCCTAGCTAGGGAATAAGCAATTTATTCATACCTTTTCCAAGCTGTCTTAGTTCGGACGCACACGATATTAAAGAGTCATCGTGAACTCCATGATCTCGTGGAAGACTGTATAATATACACTAAGCCAAGGTTGTATGCAGCTTTGAATGCAGAGTTGTCTTTCTCCTAGACTGGTTGCCAACCACGGACAGTGAGCCCACATTGTCCTGCTATTTAACATGTAAGTGTGGAGATAAGACATATGCAATATTTTGCTTCTGTGTCAAAAGGACAGTTATTCCGTTAACACTTTAATTCTGTATACACTTTTGACATCCTCGACAATGATTATTGTAAAAAAAAAAACGTTGATTAGAATTTTAATAAAACCCAAACATATAAAGGTGGATTTACACATTTTCTTTATTCTTGAGAAATGACAACAAAGATGTTAAACACTGTTTGTTTATTAGATTTTGATCATTTTGTTTTTTAATTTTGAATAAAAAGATATCTTTTCAAATTTATATCTTTATAAAATGATAAATAATAAAACTTAATACAAGGTAAATAACAAATAAAGTACTGTACTTGGTTCACATATTTTTATAACCATTTAAAAAAACATTGCCGAGGGAGTCAAAAGTGTATACAGTAATAAGAGTTTACACTATTTACATTTACTGTTGCCCTAATCTTTATTTTCAGATTTACGATGTTTCGACCATTGTACGCTCCGGACTTCTTCAAGTGATACACGTTGGAATTTCGAACTGAACCCTTTATTTAGTCTACAGAGGTATATTGTTCTAGTTCCACGTGCCATGCCTTTTCTGGATATCTCAGTTTCAGTTGATTCTCTTTAGTAACTCAACTCTCTAAGTTCCCCCCCCCTCAGCTGTGGCCAGGTATTGAACTCACAACTCTTTGGGTCAAGTTCCGTAAATATCGGTGAATATAACGAACACGAGCGGCTTCGAATCCGACCCTAGATCACACCACCCCCACAGCCAAACTTGCAGCACCTGGTATTCCCAAGTGATTATCCACCTAGTTATTGACCTAGATCAATGGTGCTTAACTTCAGGGGTCGGACGAAAACCGGTGTTTTAATATTGATACGGCCGTAATAATCAAATAATAAACTTACCAATCCACCTTACTTGATTTTTTTTTTCAATTAAGACATTCATGTACCTTTTATAGACGAGGTAATTACCTGTCCGATGAACAGAAAAAAATCTGTAATTGTTGTTCTCTAACCTATATAAAAATTTATGTAAAGGGTGTTCCAATAACTTGGACCGACTTTAAATGTGAATTAAGTTTAAGCATCTAATGATTTTTTTTCTTTTTCTTTCAGATTTAACAGCTTACGTCCTTGGCAATTTCAACCATGGAAAGATTAACAATCAAACAACGTGTTCAAGTTATCAAAGCATATTACGAAATGCCATGTAGTACAGCATGCCGTTTGCAAAGTTTTGGCGGACTGAATTGCGTCATGGTGCTCTTTTTCTCACAGACGGTGCCCAACTGACCCTACTATATTGTACAGTCGACAAAATCAAAAACAAATAACGGGTATGCGCAAAATTAAAAATATAAAATGGCGAGAATTTACCCATCGCACCCTGTAGATATCACAAGTTATCGTGAGCGTGTTGGCCTTTTGCAAACTGTTAATCCTGCCAGAGGATGATCTCTCTCCCAGAAACTCTAAGATCCACTCAGTATAGTTGCAGTATAAACCACAGCTGGTCTATGTTGATGTGGAATAATCAAAAATTTACCTGAGCATGCGTCTGCAAAAGGGATTGACATACCGCCCTAGGAGACGGGTGTACTAGGAAACGGATAGCCGGTCGTTTTTATTATATTTTCATATTTCAGATATCTATATAAAAGGTGTTCCAATAACTTGGATCGATTTTAAATGTGGATTAAGTTTAAGCGTCTAATTATTTTTTTTCTATTTTTTACAGATTTAATAACTTAAGTCTTTGGCAATTTCAACCATGGAAAGATTAACAATCAAACAACGCGTTAAAGTTATCGAAGCCTATTACGACAATGGACGTTCAAACAGAAATGCTATGAAAAGTTCCCATGTCGCATCATTTCTCGAAACAGCGAAGTCAATTGGCCACCATGATCATGTGACTTGACGCCTTTAAATTTCTTCCTTTTGGGGTCATCTCAAAAGTAAGGTCTATACCAAGAAGCCAACAACAATTCAATAGCTAAAGGATGAGATAAAAAGGCAAATTGGTGAGATCAAGGAGCAACTATGCAGAGACATCATCAAAAATTTTGACCATCGAGTGGAGGTATGACGCTGAAGCCTTGGCGGACATTTGGGCAATATTATTTTTCACACACAATTGCCATGACATAAATAGCCTGATCCAATATGGAAATAAATAAATTTTCACCAATAACACTCATTTATGTACTGCTGACTTTGATCCATCTTAATGAAACACCTTTATATATAATCCGTTTTAATGAAACACCCTTTATAAAAAAGATTATTAGTAAATCATTTTTCTACATTTTTTTGTCATTATGTCAAGTTTATTTGAATTTTATTCTCTAGATATAGCTACATAGATCTGACCATGATAGAAACATTTCAATAATTTTCTCTTGTTTGTATTAATAATAATAATAATAATAATCGAAATCACTGAGAGATGGTATGAGCACCAATCAAACTCAGTTATCCAAAATAACGATGTAACTATCCGCAGGGAGATGCCAATTCAAACTGACAGAGAAACAAAAACTAACAGACATGGAATTATCATAAAAGACAAGAAATTCACGAAGTGTATGCTTATTGACATAGCAGTACCATCTGAGAGAAACACCTCCATGATAATTATCGAGAAATTGTCCAAATACAAGGACCTGGAGATCGAGATTAACAGAATGTGGGGAATGAAGACTGAGACTGTACCAATAGTAATTGGAGCACTGGACCTCTTGAGAAAAGAAATGGACAATTTTACTAACAATGTCCCCGGTAACATCAATATATAAGTTTCCCAGAAAATCGCCCTACTAGAAACATCCCATATACTAAGAAAAGTGCTATCAATTAAATGACAATCCTCCTATAGGGACTAAGGACCATAGTTTGAATCCGGTTCTATAGGATACAAAGCAGGAAATATAACATACTCAAATAATAATAATAATAATAATAATACGGGAAGGATACTGCAAGAAACTGGTATGAACATCACCCAGAACCGGAGATATAACCTGTAACAATTTTATGGGACATAGATTGAACAATCAATTCTATTGCCCTTACATCGTGATCAAAGACCACAAAAACTGATTGTGCTTTCTTACTGACATGGCATTCGTTGTAGTTTGTAATGTATCTTTGAAGATCTTCAAAAAACTATAAAATTACAAGGATCTTGAAATGGAAATCTGAAAAATATGGCACATGAGGACATCAATAATTCCAGTTTTTATTTGGAAACCTTGGATTGATTGGAAAGGGTTCCGAGAGACTTCATTGAAGGGGATACCTGGTAGAAATACAAAAAAAATTGTACTCACAAGTACAGCTCTCACATTACGATGAGCTTTATCGATATAAAATGTTTTTATTTTGTTTTATTTTTCTTTTCCTTTTTTTCTTTTTTTTAGAAAATTCATCAGTGGAAAATGTAATGAAGCTATTTCTGACCTTAGGTCTCTGGTTGGGACCCAGAAGGAAATGTGTATACAACAGAAATCAAAGGAAATAATAATAAATATAAAATAAATAGTGGAAAATGTCATGAAGCCATTTCTGACCTTAGGTCTCTGTTTGGGACCCGCAAGGAAATGTGTATACAACAGAAATCAAAGGAAATAATCATAAATATCAAATGATTAGTGGAAAATGCCATGAAGCCATTTCTGATCTTAGGTCCCTGGTTGGGACCCGGAATAAAATGTGTATACAACAGAAAGGAAATAATAATAATAATAATAATAATAATAATAATAATAATAATAATAAATAACTGTCAAAAATTTCACGGTTTTCCTATTTAAGTATTCTGATGAATCTTAATTCTCCAGTTAATGATTGAATAAGCTCCTTGCGAGTCCGCAGCAATAAGATGCCCGTGGGAATTCCCATGATGCATTGTTAAATATTTGAGCTTAACAACTTTTACAAAATATTGCAATAACAATGATAAAAAGTAATAGAAGTAGACAGGTTTGCTTATTGTTCGGTTCATTCCCCTCCCCGGTCTTTTGAACAGGAGGAGAGTTTTATTCCTTATTTCTTATTTAGGATTGCTTTTATGTTCCTTCTAAAGTCTACTTTAACTCTATACTTCTAATGTCTTCGCTTATAACTTTATCTTATTTACTATTTATTTACATCTTTTCCCCAATAATAGATTGCTAACTGCTACAGTACGTCGAAAGGGCACGTCGACGTGGCGAAATGTTTGGCAAGCTTGTCTTGCTAGAACAATTACAACTGAGTTCGATCCTCACTCGGTGCCCTATACTCTCGACCACGTCTGAGTCTATCTTAGAAAATCGCCATTGGCTGTATTATTTTGCCCCCAAAATTTTTAAAGGTCTAGTTTAATAAATCTTTCATCTTTGTTATTTTAATCCAATGATTAAAAATTGCCATATACAGGGTGCGGCAGAAATACCTCCCACATTTAAAATGTTGATAAAAGGACCAAGGTAACTGCTATTTAAAAAGTTATTTTACCGTTGGTTAAAAAAGGGCTTTATTCGTTTAATTGTTAAAATGACATCTCTATCTATAAAAGGCAGGATGTGTGTGTGTGTGTGTGTGTGTGTGTGTGTGTGTGTGTGTGTGTGTGTGTAACGAATGCACGGTCGCAATTTTCGACGGATTTACACCAAAATTTACATGCACATGCTCCAAGTTAGCAAGATCTCAACTCCCATCGATAGTGGAAATAATCGATTATTTCATGCTTGTACGGCGTTTACGGCCATTTTTACTGGTAATTATACTGCCACGAATAGGCAAGAAAATTATTTTTGTTAACTAGCATGCTAGCATGCAAAAAAAAATGGATAGCTGCATTCGTCACATGTGGGAAAAATTTAAATCTGCATATTTTACTCCAATTGGCTCATTCGCTTGCTTAAACTCAACATGAGCTCTGGTAAAAACATGAAAAGATAACACAAAAATTGCAATATGAGCACTGGTAAAAATGTTGCTGAAGACATTAGGTTTATATTACCCAGAAATTCATACCCAGATGTCCTCAAGGACACATGGCACAGTGGATAAAGGCGTTTATCCGGTTTTGAGAACTTTCAGAGGGAAATTAACCAGGAGATAACTGATAACTGACATCCATCAAACATGATGAGCGAAATAAATGGTTCAGTTAGGAGCGTACAACGACCGAAACGTTGTGATAAATATGGCGACAAAGATGATGACAATATTCCAAATAATGTGCATTAACGTTATTTGCACTTAAAAGGAAGATTAAAACGAAACATTCACATTTCCAAATTAAAAAAAAATGGACTGAGATGAGGTCTTGTAACTATTTACATTGTTCGGATTGTCCTCATCTTTATTATCATATTCACGACGTTTCGGCCATTATACGCTCCAGTCTTCTTCAGGTGATATGCGTTGGAATTTCGGTGTAGATTGTTCTGGTTCCACGTGCCAGTTTCTCACTTTCAATTATTTCCGTTTAGTAATTCAACTCTCCAAATATTTTTCACCTCTGCTGTGGCCAAGTATTGAACTCACAATTCTTTGGGTCAAGACACTTCATTACTTCAGTCAACGCTTTTATCCACTGGACCACGTGGAACTAGAACTATCTACCCCAGTGGACGAAATAAAGAATTCGAAATTTCCAACGTATATCACCTGAAAAAGGTCGGTGCATACAACGACCGAAACAGACAATGAATACATAAAATTCCTGTGAAAAAAAAAGCTTAAATCTTAGATTTAATCCATTTAGACTTCTTTGATTGGAGGAAGCAGTGCCAAAAATGGATTCAGCACCAGCATCGAAAATCTCAGTTTGGTTAGTTGGTTCTTAGATTTTCTTGGTACTTGTTCCAAATTTTGGTTTCGATCGGTCAATATATGGCTAAACAGTTTTCTTAATTTTTGCAGATTGAAAATGTTTTAATATCTTAGAATTTAGACTAACAAGAAGAAAAAACATTGTCTCAAACTTTATTTGTTAACGTTATTCGAAGATGGAGACAGGGTCAAAGAAAAGAAAAAAGCCAACATATGGCAAAAAAGCGTATGGATTGAATTTTGTGTTTCAAAGCCACCAAATGGATCATTTTTTAAAAGAAAATCAAATTAAACAAGAAAAACATGTCTGCTACTAAAAACATTCATTTAAACAGATAGAAAATAAGCCAGAAATGATTTTAAAAAATGATGAAACGAGCTGCGGGATTTAATTTCATCCGATCATAACTTGAATCATAACTTGAATCATAATTTCATCCGATCATAACTTGAATCATAACTTGAATCATAATTTCATCCGATCATAACTTGAATCATAACTTGAATCATAATTTCATCCGATCATAATTTGAATCATAACTTGAATTATAATTTCATAAGATCTTAACTTGTATCATAACTTTAATCATAACTTGAATAATAACTTCATTCAGTTATAACTTCATAAGATATTAACTTTTATCATAACTTTAATCATAAATTGAATCATAATTTCATCTGATCATATCTTCATCCGATCATAATTTTTATCATAACTTTAATCATAACTTGAATCATAATTTCATCCGATTCTATCTTGAATCCTAACTTCATCATAATAATTTGAATCATAACTAGAATCATAACTTCAACCGATTATAACTTCATCAGATCATAACTTGTATCATAACTCTAATCATAACTTGAATCATAATTTCATCTGATTATAATTTGAATCATAACTTGATTCATAATTTCACCCGATCATAGCTTCATCCGATTATAACTTGTATCATAACTTAAATCATAATTTGAATCATAACTTGGCAAATACTTAAAATCAGGACAGAGACCTGTTCTAAAACCCTGAGACTGTCTACATTCGGACTAGATGTAGCACACATAACTTGGGAAATGTCCCAAAGATGTCAAATGTCCGCTTGCGAACTCACTCTACACTAGATGGCGCTAATATGATTTCATTAGCAAGTAGATTTGAAGGTTACTCGCTTCATCAGTTTAGAATTCAGAGTTGTCCAGCTTCTAGACAGGTTGCAAAGCAAGGCTAGACCTCGCAGTCTTCTCTGTTATTTAACCCATAGCTGGGATAAATACCTTCGCGATGCATGTTTCTGCGAAAGTGAACACAATTGTCTCCGCTGGGATTTTAACTCAAGTCGTAGATCATATTTTCCTCTCACCGATAACGTGCACATTGCATGCCTGCATCTATGTAAGTATATCCTGTCTAATACCCAGTGGGGTATGAATCTACAACGGTAGGCGTTGTTGCTGTATTTTTTGTAACAAGTTTTGAATGCAGAATTGTCTGTCTCCTAGACTGGTCGCCAACCAAGTGTTTTCAAACCTTTTGACTTGGGGACCCCTTTATATTTCAGGCTTTACTTTAGGGACCCCCTTATAAACGTTTATGAAATTTACACATAAATATTTGCTTAATATAACATATAATTTTACATTAATGCAAACAACTAACAGCCAATGAGAAAGCCGGAAATCGCAAAATAGATCCAAAATTCAAATCCTTTGGTTCCTTCTCTGCATGAATAGAATCCATTATCTTTATCAATTTAAGATACAAATTATATTAGTATATCAAAACTATGAAATAGTTTATTGAATCAATTTATTTCATGATCGGCCTATAAGTTACTTATAAGCACTTATAAGCTGCACGTCACCCATAAAAAAGTGTTTGCTGTCCACGGACTCCCCTATCTTGTCCTTGCGGACCCCCTGTGGTCCGCAGACCACAGTTTGAAAACCCCTGCTATAGACCACACTCTGCCCTGTCATTTAACCTCTAGCTGGGATGAGAAGAGATGGATTTGTGTCGTTCAAAGAGCATTTATGGAGTTTGAACTCGGCACGCCAATCTCATTCTACGTCCCCATAACCGCTAAGCTACACGTACATTGACGCTTCAATCTATAAAGTTTCGGAAAGACCACAGAAGCGAAGTGTCAATGCTGAATATAGAGTTTCAGGCTTGGTGTCACTTTATCTCGTTCAACAAATAAAGACAAATTTCTAAAGAAAGAAACCACAGTTTGCCCCTCCCCCCTTCCCTACCCCAAAAAGTAAAGCTAGTGATTAATTTAAAAGCTAAAACTTCACAACAGGAAGTAGGTCAGTGACAAATTATTACAAAGAAGACGTGACAGCAAGAAGAAAAGGGCGGAAAGGTATTAGTCCGGGAGGGAAATCAGGGGAGGTCACTCATGTGCTACACAACGCTAGGACATCACGTGCAAGGCCCGGGTCATCAACACGCTCTAACTAAATCCTTGTTTCTGTATCGCATCAAGACACATAAACCAAACCACGAGTTTTTTGTTTTTGCTTTTTTTGTCTTTGTTTTTTTTTTTTTTTTTATGGAGCTTGAGGGTTGGAGATTGAAAGACAGAAGAGTAAAGCAATGTGTGGTAAATGGGTGGGGCACAGGAAAAGAGGATATTTTTGCCTGCGCAAAACGGATGCTAAAGTTTGCTTTGTTATTTTTTTAAATTTGATGAACACACAAAAAAAAACTAAAGGACTTTCAACCAATCATTCGACACTAAACTTGTACTTTTTGAAGAATAAAATTAATATTTACTCAAGTCCGGCTTGAAGACATTTTCCAGAGGTTTCAAAGACCTGTTCTCGTACGATCACCGAAGTTAAGCAACGTCGAGTCTGGTTAGTACCTCGACGGGTAACTGCTTAGGAATACCAAGTGCTTTAAGCTTATGTTCACTATCTATCTAGCTATCCCAGTCGCCATGAAGTGTTGATTCCTATGTCTAATATCTATCTATCTATCTATCTATCTATCTATCTAAGTCTGTTCATATCTATCTATCTATCTATCTATCTCAGTCTGTTCATTATCTATCTATCTATCTATCTATCTATCTATCTATCTATCTATCTATCTATCTATCTATCTATCTATCTATCTATCTATCACTTTTTACGTATTTCGTGCTTACGGCCACATCACGTTGTAACACGTTTTCATACGTTCACCGAAGTTAAGCAACGTCGATCGTGGTCAGTTCCTAGATGGGTGACCGCTTGGAGATACCAGGTGCGGTGGTATAAAAGGCTCATGGCCGGGGATGCCAGGTACTGTATGCTTGGGTGTGCAGTGGTATAAAAGGCTTATGGCTAAATCACGTTGAAACGCCGGTTTTCGTACGATCACCGAAGTTAAGCAACGTCGATCCTGGTCAGTTCTTAGATGGGTGACCGCTTGGGAATATCATCTACTGTATGCCTGGATGTGCGGTGGTATAAAGGGCTTATGGCTATATCACGTTGAAACGCCGGTTTTCGTACGATCACCGAAGTTAAGCAACGTCGATCCTGGTCAGTACCTAGAGGGGTGACCTTTTGGGAATATCCTGTACTGTATGCCTGGATGTGTGGTGGTATAAAGGCTTAAGGCCACATCACGTTGAAACACCAGTTGTCGTTCGATCACCGAAGTTAAGCAATGTCATTGTCTGGTTAGTACCTAGACTGGTAACCGCTTAGGAATACCAGGTGCTTTAACCTTATGTTCACTATTTAGCTAGTTATCTCAGTCACCATAAAGTGTTGATTCCTATGTCCACTATCTATTGTTATGCATTTCATGCTTACGGCCACATCACGTTGGTTCATCGGTTCTCATTCGATCACTGGAGTTAAGCAACGTCGAGACTGGTCAGTACCTAAAATGGGTGACCGCTTGGGAATACAAGGTGTTGTAAGCTTAGATGTGCAGCTGGTGTAATCGATAACGGCTCGGAATTGAAAATTTGAAGCGAATAGGAATGATTCGACTCTGCATATATTGTCTGGCAAATATAAAGAGTAAATGTCTGAACTAGGGAATGTAACTCTTTTGAATATTTTCCATGGATTAGCAAGATGTTTGCGGTGTTGCAAGACAGAAAACAATTCATCACCCACAAAGGCCTGTAGACGCTTTTAAACTCTGTCAAGGCTGGAAAGTGAGTATTGAATAGCCCCAGCACAGACATGGTAGCAATACTCCATTTTTGGTCTGATCTGTATCTTGTAAATATAGAGTATGTCAAGAGGAATCAGATACTTTCTTGAGCGGCACAAGGAACCAACCATTTTTCCAGACAATTTAGTAATGGTTCGTGCATATATATGAGGTCCACTGAAGTGAACGCATTCGAGGCAAAGAGCTTCATTAAGAGTGCAACCATTCTTGATGAATAGGAAAAAACTGGGGTCTGCCTGGTGTTGATTAAACGATACTAGTTTGGTTTTTGGTGATATTGAATGGTACGAGCTAGTATTTTTTTTTTTCGATTTAGCTGTTCAGGCGTGAGATCAGCCTATTTTTGAAAGTATTAAATGATATAAGCCAGGTTTTTTTTCCCGTTGTAGACATAGGAGCAGTCTGTTTTTGGAGGTATTGAATAGTAGGCGCGTTTTTTCTCCCGGTTGAGCTGTTCAGACGTGACATCAACCTGTTTTTGGAGGTATTGAATAGTACGCGTGTTTTTTCCCCCTGATTGAGCTGTTCAGACGTGAGATCAACCTGTTTTTGGAGGTATTGGATCGTACGCGCGTTTTTCCCACGATTGAGCTGTTCAGACGTGAGATCAGCCTGTTTTTGGAGGTATTGAATAGTACACGCGTCCCCCGCCCCCGCTTTAGCTGTTCAGACTGGGGAATTTGATACTCACAGGACATAACGAAGTCAAGAGAAGCAGCCGAAAACATCGAGTAACCTACTTAACGACTTACTTTGAACAGATAACAGAACAGTAACATTAAGGAATAGTAAAGAATAAAAAGGTACTTTTTTTCTTTTATATGCAGTTTCCATTCAGGATGTAAGCGATAATTGATCTCCACAACTTCCTATGATTTGTAGCCCTTAACAACGTTTGCCTTTTTGCCCCCTAATCACTGTTCTGTCAATCAACACACGATCACCTTAGGTAAGTGGCGCCTTGCTTTTCTATCCCTCTTACCATCAATTTATCCTGTGAGTGTCAAATTTTCCTAGTAGTCTTACTTCATTATTTACCATAAAATTTTCATTTGTCTCTCTCTCATTCTAAGAAGGTGTCGTTGTTTGCTGCTTCCATTTTCTCGAAAACATCGTCGATATTCACGTGTTCGGTCAACATCCTTCTGTAAAACGGCATTGCTGTTGTCTCAAGTCTTTTCTTCATCTGTGATGAGATGGTTCAGCATTTACTGACAGATACATAACAGTTCAGTATTATTTTCCAATGTAATGTTTCTGATCTATACACCTAGCCATGAAGCTAGACGGGTTGGTCGCCCAGCAAACACCTACACTGACCAGCTATGTTATAACAAACTAATGACCTTCCGACTGTGATACAGGTCAGTGAGGTTTGGTGTGATAGACTCATGAATACCCGAGATAGAGCGACCGAATAAAAAGAAAATCGCATTTTTCGCTATTTCTATGCTTCTTCGGATTTCGGTATCGCATTTTGTAGCATTTGTTAAAGCACTTCTTGTTAGAATTTTGGGGTACACTCGTGTACTAGTGAGCCAGCCGAAATGAGCTGACTCATTTTATAGTTCACCAATACAATGATTAACCAATCAGAAGGCTCAAAATATTCAATGCGACGTGTATAAAGGCGGCCATGTTTTTTTCCGAATATGCACTGCCAGCCTTTGATATCGAAGACTGAAGAATTACGGAACAGCTGCTGGTGGTATTGGCGATATAGTCAGATTCAGTAGAGTGCCTGACACGTGAGTGTTAATCTTTAACGTTGTTTCATTGAACAGATTACGTACTGCGCTGTATTCTATATTCATAGACTATAGTGAACAGGGTCAACAAAGGTTATGAGCCCAGATTACGAATGTATTTTGACGGAGACGAGTCAAAATACGAATTGTGGAAAGTGAAATTCCTAGGCTACCTTAGAATACAAAAACTTCATGACATCATTCTTTGCCAAGATGACCAGAAAGAAGATGATGATTTTATGAAAAGAAATGCGACCGTGTTCGCCGAATTAATACAATGCCTGGATGACAGGAGTTTGTCTTTAATAATGAGAGAAGCCAGGGCCAACGGCCGCCAAGCTTTAAGAATATTGCGTGAACATTACTTGTCAAAATGTAAACCCAAAATTATTGCTTTATATACTGAACTAACCTCGTTAAGGAGACGAGAAAATGAATCTGTAACAGATTATAGTATACGAGCTGAAAATGTCACAAATGCCTTAAAAATGGCAGGTGAGACTATCTCAGATGAGCTGCTAATAACCATGGTTTTAAAGGGCTTACCAGCAACATTCAAACCATTCACGACAGCCATAACTCAAAAAGATAAAAAATTAACTTTCACTGAGTTTAAAATTGCGTTATGTAGTTATGAAGAAACTGAAAAAATGTGTAATCCCCCAAATCGAGGAAATAACGTAATGCAACCGAGAATGTCATTTAAAAAAATCAGAAAACCATTCCCTCGAACCTAACAGACTAGGAATTATGATATTAAAAACAAGGGGTTTAAAAACAATTATTACAATAAGAACAACAACACTTCCTAGTTTTTGAACGTGTTTAATTTTGATATCCCCAATTTGCAATTCCCATGTTGGGCTGCTCCTTTGTAATTCCCATGTTACACTTCCGCTTTTGCTGACAACCATGTAGTCGGTCTAATTGTAATTGATAGTTAGTCCTTTCTTCTCGCGTTCCTTTACTACGTTCTGCAGGAGTTTCTGCAGTTTCCTTTCAATGTCTGCTATCAACACTGTGCCACCTGCATTTTTTGAAGCATTTCACCTGAGGCATTTTCTGAAGCATTTCAAGGCGGGAGAGCCACTAACATACAAGGAAAGAGGAAAACTGAGTGAAAAGGCGGTGTATAGAGAGAATTGAGTATAACAGAAAAACGGGGGTCACGGCAACAGAAGATGGCGATAGACGTTGTATTTAAATTTTTGAAGATTGTAGATATCAGAGAAGCAATAGGGGGAAGCCAGTTCCACTGGTGGGAAACCGAGAAAAGAATATACTGGAGTAAAAGCGGTGGTTGCATTTAACTATTTCAACAATAAAGGGTGCGACCTAAATGCCAACCTAGTAGCACGCTTAAGTGTATGTAGTCGGGAAACCAGGGAAGATAGGTCATCAGAACAGTTGCCACGAAAATATTTGTAGAAAAGACAGAAGGAAGCCACATCGCGTCTATGATAGAGTGACTGAAGTTGACATGTCAAGTCAGGATCGTGTCTAATTTTGTTAAGATTATGGCCGCCAGTAATGAATCCTGTTAGGGCTTCTCGAATCAAAAAGTAGGTAGATCGCCCAAGTCCTGAAGACATATAAGAAGAGAACGAAAAGGATATTGACACGGAAATTGGGATTGGTGAAGTAAGGCGGGGGTTGTTGCATATATTTACTTCATAGTAAAGCCCTTAGCAAAGCAAAATCCCACATCTATTGTCTCAGCTAGGCGTTTTAACAAACAAATGTCGCGATATTTGGTAAAGAAGAGAGCGGGTTATTAAACTCTAGATCAAAACCATAGTTTCATAACTAAAAAGTTATTACACCTTTTGTCAACCTTGACAACGACCAACGATTCCCACCAGAATTAATTATCGATTTTATAGGTTTAATATATGTCTGGTCTCTATGTATGGTTTAATGAATTCTAACTCGGGATGAGAAAACGGAGAACCGAGTTCGAATTCCAACCGAGTTCGTTGCATTCACTTTTGTGTAAATACCCTTGGGAAATGTATGAAACCATCTCTTCTTCCCCCACCTCACCCCTGTTATGAGTTAAATTGCAGAAAAGAATTGGTTCTATAGCTTTTATTGGAAACCATTCTAGAGATGATGACCCGATAAAATCACCTATCTTCAAGCAAACCTGTGATCCTCGTGGGGATGTACCGACCCATGAAAATGCACAGTGACTGGAAGTCTTCAGCCGTGTGATTTGTGCATTCTGCCGTAGGCGGAGAATTTTTTTTTTTTTTTTTAGATTTTTAGAAAAGCTTACGATAAGCAGAAATATATTTCTATATTTCTATGAGGTATATGGGCTCTCCCTATTTTTTTCTTCGAAACTAAATACAAAGTTTTAGAATAAAACTATTTTTCGCCTGAAACAAGACAAGAGACTTTTTTTTTTGTTTTTCACTTGTTTCATTTCCTAAGGGATATCCTTACATTTTGTTTTTTTTTTTCTTTTTCTATAAGGCTAATTTTTTAAAATCACCCCCCCCTAAAAAAAAAAACAAGATGATAACGCCACTAAAATGCAAAGAGCTACTGAAAATGAGAGAGAGGATAAAACAATATTTTTTATAAGGAACCAAAAGCAGAAAACCAGGGATAAAAAAAAATCTACTCCTGTTCAAAAGGCCTGGAAGGAGTGTGAACCGGGCGATAGGCAAACCTGTCTACTCCTATTGAGGCGAAGAAAAAATAATTACTAAATGAAATTTCAGAGTTCAAGAGAAAACGTTAGCAGAATAGACTTGATGTAGACTTCAAAAGGAACCGAAAACCTAACCCTTAACTGCAAACAAAGGATCAAAATCTACTCCTATACAAAAGACCGAGGAGGAGTATAAACCGGGCGACAGGCGAACCTATTTCTGTATCTGTTCTTCTTGCTGTTTGTCCATTTGCATGTTCACGTCATAGCTGTTTGGTGGTCGGCCTTCAGGATCGAGTGACAGTAAGTCTCCTTCGTCGACACTTGCTGA